AACCAGTGTCTCCAGCTCCAGTCTCCTCACAACCAGCACCTCCAGTGCCAGCGCCTCCAGCACCAGCACCCCCAGAACCAGCACCCCCAGAACCAGCACCTCCTGTGCCAGCACCTCCAGCTCCAGCACCCCCAGAACTAGCACCTCCAGTGCCAGCACCTCCAGCTCCAGCACCCCCAGAACTAGCACCTCCAGTGCCAGCACCTCCAGCTCCAGCACCCCCAGAACTAGCACCTCCAGTGCCAGCACCTCCAGCTCCAGCACCCCCAGAGCTAGCGCCACCTGCGCCAGCACCTCCAGCTCCCGCGCTCCCAGAGCTAGCGCCACCTGCGCCAGCACCTCCAGCTCCAGCACCCCTCGAACGAGCACCCCCAGACCGAGCACCGCCAGCGGCCGCACCTCCAGCTCCAACACCAACTGAGTCCACAGTAACCTGTCGCGGAAGTGCCGAAGGCTGCTGAGGAGACTGTGAGGAGGACTGCGGGGAGGGAGACGCTACCTGACGCGCGACCGAGGGAAGAGGGGTAGCGTGGGACACACCAGATGGGGCAGGACCAGGGGGGGGCGGGGGTACCGGAGGAGGGGGAGCAGGAGGAGGAGAGGGGGCAAGGAAAAGGGGGGGAGGGGGTACCGGGAGACCTCGACAGGGGTACCGGGTGTAGTAGGACACGGACTCGTCAAACCGGACGTCACGGGAATCTAGGAACGGGTGGAGGGGAGGGTGGTAAAAGGACCAGTCGGCAGAGTCCACCGGGAAACCAAGGAAGACACAGGGGACGGCGCGAGCCGAGAGCTTGTCCGCGGAGGTGTCGCGAACAAGCGCAAGGCAGCCCCAGACACGAAAGGCCGACCCAACACCAGGGGACCCGGTCCAAAGACTGGTCGGTGAAGCCTCGGGCCGTGAGACGCGCGGCTGGAGGTTCAGCTGGTGTGCGGCGTAGCGAACCGCGTAAGGCCACAGAAAATGGGGCGCACGGGCATGGATCATGGACGTGCGAGCAATGTCCATGACCAAGCCAATGCGGCGCTCAGCAACCCCATTCTGCTGTGGGGACTCCGGAAGCGTCCAGGACTGTACGATGCCCTGTTCGCCGCAGAATCCGGCAAGAACGCCGGAGCGAAACTCGCCCCCACGGTCGGAGTGTAGACAACTGACACGACGACCACGAGTGCCCTCAGTGGCCAGAAGCCACCGGATCAGCGTAGCAGTCACCTCGGACTTCTTCGCGAGAGGAAACACTGTGGTGTACCTGGAGAAGTCGTCGACGACCACCAAAAAGTAACGCTCCCTCCCAGATCCCTGCGTCGGGGCAGGGCCCCAGACGTCCAAGTGGAGGGTCTCGAAGGGAGCAGTGGCCGGACGAAGGGAGGAGGAGTGAGGAGTGGCGCGTAAACGACCGGCGACGCAAGGAGTGCAAGGGGGAGCAAGTGAGGTAGGGAGCGACGGAAAGGTGCGTGGGAGACCTGTGACAAGCCCCTGGCTGGTCATGCCGCGGAGGCGGGGGATCAACGGGTGACCAAGACGGTGGTGCCACAAGACGGTCCGGTGGGTGAGGGAGCGACAGGAGCAAGACGCAGCAACCGGACAGGACACCGCGACCGGACTAGACACGACCACCTGGCTAGACACAGCAACTGGACTGGACACCTGGACTAGAGGGGACGCAACGACCTGAGCGGAGGACGCAACCTGGGAGCGCTCGGTGTGGAGAACGTAGAGACCGGAGCGGGGCTCCCTGGTGAACGTGGCCAGAACAGTACCAGTGGCAGCGTCTGTACAGACCGCAGTCCTCCCACCCCCCACAAAGGTAACCGTGATCCCCCTGTCCTGGAGGTAACCAACACCCACCAAGTTTCGAGTGAACGAGGGGATGTGGAGGCCGCGCAGGACACCAGAGGGGACCACAGGACACGGGAGGGTAGTGGAACTGCGCGCAACGGCTGGTCCTGAGGTAGGATCAGCCAGAGCTACCGAAACAGGAGTGAGGAGTGGCATGAGGGTCGTGTGGTCGCGGAAGAAGCACTGAGACGCACCAGAGTCCAGCGTGAAGGACAGAGACGCCTCAGCCGGAGGGTCACCTGTCCTAGTGGCTACACAAGCACCTAGAGCAGCAACACAAGCACCTAGACTAGAAAGGCACAAGTCTACACTAGCAGGAGGCAAGCAAGCTAATCTACGAACACGCGAGCACACAGATCCATCAGCACTATAGTCAACATCAGCATACAAAGCATGCTGACGAGCATCGTCCATAGACAGATCAAACACATCAATCTTACGGGATAACAGGCGAGCCCAGCGAGGCGTGGTCGCCGCAGGGCCCCAACGAGCACGGTAGAGGTCGTCGAGGCGGCGGAAGCACCGCGCGGCAGAGTGGTCGTCACGACCGCAGAGACAGGGGCTGCCCGGTCCGGTGAGGCACCAGTGGGTGCAGGGGCTAGTGTCACGGCGAGGGGGGCGAGGGGCCCAGCTGGAAGTACTGCTGCTGCGGCCGGTGCTCCCAGGTCCTCCCGGACCCCACTGCGGCGGGGGACCCCAGTGCTGCTGCGGACCCCACTGCAGCGGGGGCCCCCACTGCTGGAACTGCTGCGGTGCCTGCTGATGCTGCTGTCCCTGCTGTGGCTGGTGCTGCTGCGACTGCTGCTGCCGGGGTCCAACACCCCCACCTGTCTGTCCTGCACCTCCTCCAAGGCCCCCTCCTCCTGGTGCACCTCCGCCGCCGCCACCGCCGCCGCCGCCTCCACCACCGCCGCTCCCACCTCCACCGCCACCTTCACCGCCGCCTCCACCGCCTCCACCTCCCCCCTTCCCGCCCTTCTTGCCACTCTTGCCCCGTTTCGGCCAGTCTGCGGCAGAAACGGCAGCAATGTCCCCAGAAACCGACACAGCAGCAGAAGCGCGGGTAGCAGTGAAAGTGGGAAGCTGAGGGGCGGCACACCCCGCAAAGAGACGGGGGGCAACCGCGTCAGTGGCGGAGGCAACGGTGAGGAGGCTAATCTCGATCGTCCCGAGAGCGGTCTCAAGGAGATCGATAGTGAGCTCAGTGGGGTGCTTCTGGAGAAGTGCGTCGCGAGCAGTGGCAAGGCCGTCAGGGAGGCGGGTGACTAACCAGTGCACAGTGAGCCACATGGGGGGGGGAGCAGCAAGAAGCTGGGCGTCGGTACAGGCCGCTCGGAAACCGGCGTCAAGTGAGTGGAGGTGAGTCACTAGGTCGGACACAGTCGCAAACGAGCCGAGGTCGGGAAACACGAACGGCATGAGGAGGCGACTGAGGGAGGTAGAGGAAGGGGTGGAATAGCGTGCAACAACAGCAGCCCAAACCCCCTGAGCTGTCTCCACCTGGTCAAAGTGGGCGGCCTCAGTCGGGGGGAGGAGCTCCGTCAGCGCAAGAGTGGCGGCAGCGTCGCGAGAGTCCCACACGTCCCTCGCCAGGACCCGACGGTCGTAGTCCGCCTGCGCCGCAGGAGTCGGCTCTTGGTCGGTCGGGAGGGGGTCGGGAGACAGGGGCGCCTTGAGGGCACCAGACGCGTGGGCCCACAGGGTGGCGCCGTCCTGGCGCTGACTGGTGAGGTAGCGCGTGGCCTGGCGCTGCCAGGTACTGAACTCGATCGGTCGCCCCTTCGCATCGAAACGAAGGCGGCGGGAGGAGTCCATATTGGACGCTAGGCTAGGAACGGCGGAGATGAACCTAGGAGTCGTAGGAGCGCCAGTGGAGGAGGAAGCCGGGCTAGAGGCTAGGAGCTAAGTGCGACTCGGGTCGAAATCTAGTGACCGGAGCGAGAAGCGGCTGCCAGCCGCGGAGTGAGAAGCCAGTAGCAGTACGAACGGTGTTAGCCCGGGGGACAGGGCGGTGGCTAGGTGAGAAGGGGCGGTTGGGACGTTAGGGGGAGGTGGCGCGTGGGTGAGGGCGCGGCCGTTGGCGAGGGCGTTGGTAGGGCGCGGGCGAAGGTGGGGGCGAGGGCAAAGGCGAGGGCGCGGGCCTAGGCGAGGGCGCGAGCTGGGGCGACGGGGGGCTAGGGCGCGAGCTGGGGCGACGGGCTAGGGCGCGGGCCTGGGCGACGGGCTAGGGCGCGGGCCTGGGCGACGGGCTAGGGCGCGGGCCTGGGCGTCGGGCTAGGGCGGGCGCCTGGGCGACGGGCTAGGGCGGGCGCCTGAGCGACGGGCTAGGGCGGGCGCCTGGGCGACGGGCTAGGGGGGGCGCTTGGGCGACGGGCTAGGGCGGGCGCCTGGGCGACGGGCTAGGGCGCGCGCCTGGGCGACGGGCTAGGGCGGGCGCCTGGGCGACGGGCTGGGGCGGGCGCCTGGGCGACGGGCTGGGGCGGGCGCCTGGGCGACGGGCTGGGGCGGGCGCCTGGGCGACGGGCTGGGGCGGGCGCCTGGGCGACGGGCTGGGGCGGGTGCCTGGGCGACGGGCTCGGGCGGGCGCCTGGGCGACGGGCTAGGGCGGGCGCCTGGGCGACGGGCTAGGGCGGGCTCCTGGGCGACGGGCTAGGGCGGGCGCGTGGGCGACGGGCTAGGGCCTGGGCCTGGGCCTGGGCCTGGGCGACGGGCTAGGGGCGCAGGCTAGGGGCGCGGAGGGCGCTAACGCGCGGAGGAGGAGGGCGCTAAGGCGCGGAGATGTCGCGGAGGGCGCGGAGGCTAAGGCGCGGAGGGCGCGGAGGGCGCGGAGGGCGCGGGGGGCGCTAGGGCGCGGAGGGCGCTAGGGCGGGAGCAAGGCTAGGCTAGGCGAGAGGATCGACACCTACTCATGATACCATCTCAAAGTTAGCGAACAACGGAATGCATCAACTAGGATAGGGAGTGATACAAATAGCAAACCTAGAAAGTGTTGTACTCTCTACAGTGCTACTCACTACAGCCTATTATAACAATGTCCAACATTTGACAAGTCCGAGTAAGGTAAAATTCTTCACGCAATTGCAACAATGTTGGAGTTGTGTTTTCAGTACGGACAAAGAGCTAAGTAGTTGAGAATCTAGCGAATTTTAAATTAGATAATTTACAGCCAAATAAATACAGACTCCCAGCAAGAGTTCCCATTCTCTGAAGCACCCCCTCCATTCTGGCTGGCTGGTGCTCGTCCATTCTGCTGGTGCTGCTGCTGGCTGGGCGGCACCACCAGCCTGTCCCTCGTCTCAGCCGTCTCCTGCTGCCACGTCACACTCTGAGCTATGGCATCAAGGGAGGGCGGAGAGGTGCGGAGTGGGGAGGAGAGCAGAGCGGCCAGGTCGAGGGACTCGGCGGGGCCGCCAGTGCGCTGCGCCACGATGAGCTGGTTGCCGTGCACCACCGCCCTGCATGCTCCACTGGCGTGCTGCCGCGCATGGGCGAGATGGGGGGGGAAGAGAGCATGAGGAAGCAGTGACGAGCTGGTCAACGATGTGGGCAGTGAAAGAGGGGCAGGCGAGCGAGTTGGAGAGGAGGCAATGGAGCTGGCGGGATACTTGTGCTGTGAGGATCACCCAGCATCCACCACGAAATGCTTCACATGCAAGTGCCATTACTTAGAACGGACCGCATGCATTGAGCACACTGGCCTCATCAGTGAATTCTCACACAGCAGTCCAAGCAGGCGCAGTGGCCACGCGGTAGCTGTGCGGTGCACAGTGGCTCTTACTGTGAGGGGTGGCAGGGTAGTCCACGTGTTGCTGCTGACGTGGTACAGCTCAGCATCAAATAAAGCCTCCCCACTGGATGCATAGCCACCAGCTACTGCCACGTAGGTCTGGAGTGGGAGTGGGGTGACACACGTAAGAGGCATTCGTTTTGTGGGTGCGGCGTGGGAGAACCAAGCTGTGACGACTTGGACGCACATCTGCGGAGCGGCTGACGTCAGCAGTGCGCGAGCAGCTGCGGGTACCTGACGAGTGGAGGGGTGCGTCCACGCGGCGACGCCAAACGCGAATCGGGCGGTGGGCATGGGCGCGAGGACGCGCCACGAGTCGGTGAGCGCGTTGTATGCGTGCGCGTCCGCGTATGCGCGCACCACCTCGCGGCAGAACACGGGGAACGGCGAGCGCCCGCCCAGCACGAGCAGCTCGGGCTCGTTCGGAATTCCTGCTCGCGCGCGCGCCGGACCAGGGGCAAGCGGGATGGATCATGTGCAGGATACGGAGGGTGAGGCGTGCGGGTGGAGGGGACGCAGAGGGCGTTTGCCCCAGGCGCACGTGATGATAAGATGTGCGCGCGTGAACGCGGCATCAGTAAGGGCGGATGCGGGAATAAAACAAGAATCATGCTTGTATGGAAAGAGGGATGGGAAAGGAAGGGAACCAGGAACATGAGGAGATGACTCGCTAAAGGAGCGGGCGAGACGGTGTGAGGCGGCGGGCGGGCGAGGCACTGACCGACGGCGCCGTACTGCAGGCGGAGAGGGCCCGCCAGCGGCGCCACGCGCACGTCGCTCGCGTCCTCGCTCGTGCGGCACCTGCCGCAGGGCGCGGCGGCGTCCGCATGGGCGCAAGCGCTCATGTCGATTCGGTTCATGTCGTTGCTGCTGCTGCTCCGCTGCCGCGCCAGTCTGGGGGGTTGGAAGAGAAGCGGCGACAAGAAAAGCGTTTGGAACGGGGTAGAGTCACGCAATAAACGCGGCTTGAGTGGCACGGCGGCGGCAAGCAAGCGAGACTTTGGGCGATGGCCTGGGCGGGTCTAAGGCGAGGACTCTCACCCGCGAGGCGGCTGCGGGCGCGAGAGGTGGCGGCGGGCTTTGCCGGCGAGCCCCTGGAAGGCGGCGTCGCGGTACTCGTTCTCGAGGTCCACGCGCCACAGCTCCGTCAGTCCCTCCACACGGCGGATCTACGGGGAGAGAGGAGCGCGGGAATAAGGGGCGGTTGGGCTGGATGGAGCGAGCGTACGTGGGGGGTGCAATGCTGGCGGGGAGCGGGGCTGCGATGCACGGGGCAGGGAAACACGCGCTATCGCTCGAATTGCCCGTGCGGGTACTGCGTATCGTCTAAACGTTCACGGCGGACTCTACGTCAGATCAGCATCGGCCGACGCACTTTCACAGAGTGGCTAGCCACACGTCAGAGTCAGCAAGTCGCCGAGTTCAGCAAGAGACGCGCGTTACGTCGGGTCGGTGAGCGCTGGTCGGGTCAGTCGGGTCAGTCGAGATGGTGGCGGGCGGCGAGCTCACCTGGTGCAGCGCGAGGGGGTCCGCGAGGTGGCGCCACGCGGCGCAAACGGCGTGCAGCGAGCGGTAGAGCGGGAAGGGCACGGCGGCGAGGCAACGCAGCAGAATGTGGTCCGGCAGCGACGCGGGCGGGGTGCTGCCGCCGGGCATAGCGACGCACGCGGCGTCGTCAGGCGAAACAGAACTAGCTGCTGCTCCTACCGCGAGACACTCCGTGTGGGGCGACATGGCTGCGGAAAAGAATTTTCTGTTGCAAACGGTTGTGAGGATAGGAGGAAAAAATGACGGTGGGTAAGTGAAAGTGGGGTTGAAGTGATCGCTGCGATGGCTCGAGAAACGGACCACTGGTATCCATGTCTTCTGATGGGATGACGGGCCGAGAAGAGAGGCGGAACAGGTTCTGGTTCGATTATGATGCTGATGTGATGTGATAGGTTTGGCACAGTGAGGTTGATGATGCCCGCTTTCCGCCCCTCACTGCACCCCTTCAGTCCTTCACCAGCCAACATCCGTCCCAACAAGCTGACAGAAATTGCACCCAAAATAGTCTGCCAAAGATCGGCGGTGGCGAATCGCCACCCAGCTGCCACTGCAATGCTTCGATTTCATCCCTCCAGCCCGTTTCGCTCGACAATCAACACGATTACAGCAAGTGCTCACGCTGGCGAAGTCCCTGAAGCGATGCCATCCAACCGCATAAAATCGTCCAGATCGACTGCTGGTGGCGAAAATGGAGACTTCGTCGATGCGATGCGATGGCGTCGGACGATGAAATTTGGTTCGTCTTTGCACCGATTGGCCCTTGCAAGACATCCGAGAATTGCATCTCCAAGTCAAACCCGTTGTTGTGCAACTCACGAGAACCGACGGGGTTTGCTGAGGGAATGTGATGTTGCAGCCATCTGCCTGTTGCCCGGGTCAAACCCCAGATTCTGAAGGCCTTCTACAGTTCCCTCAACAAGTAAGGATCGTCTACAACTATGCATTTGAAGATGAGAAGTTAAATTTACTGCGGGGCACATATGGTAGTCTGGATCATATTATAGGTCAATCCTGTGAGCAAGGGCATGGTCAAGTTCTGATACGGCATGCATGAGTAGCGCTGACGGCCTGAAAACACTACAGCCTTTCTTTTTCCTGTCACTGTTGATTAACATTCCATTTATCTGGGCATGATGAGATACATAACGTATGGCCCCAGATAGTAGCGCAAATGCGATTATGATAAAATCGATTTTTTTAAGGGGGGCGCTTGTAATTGAGTCTAGGGCATAAACGCATGCGCCTGTTAAATTTGTTTTGAAATGTACCAAATTGAAGCCCTCAACAAGGCGAAAATATCCGTGAAACATTCACGTGGGGTCGTGCATGGAATCCCGGCGAAAACAACTGCAATTCGATTTCCCACCGCACAAAAACCGTCCCAAAGCAACGCACATGCCAACGCTGAGGCGAAACTTGCCGTGCGGCCCAATCACACCGTCATGCGCTGCCACACAGGAGCATCTCATCAGAACCCTCTAGAAGGGGGTCGGATATCCCCTGCCAGCGCAACATGTGTGGTGCCGCAAACCCTCCTTTGCGGGTTCAGACAGGGGGGTACCCGTCTCTCATTGACGAGGACCCCGAGCCGCTAACCTGAAGGGGTCCCCTCCCAACTAAATTTCTTCACTCATTCTTGCAGTTTCAAATTTAGCTTTCATTTCTTGCCCGCCTAGCTGCGGAAGACATGGCTGAATTCACCGGCACTCACTTTCTGTTCAATAAGAAGCCTAGGCCCGCGCTTAGAGTTACCGCTGACGGCTGGTATACCCGTGTCCCACCAGAGCCACCACAGCCTCCAACGCCACCTGCGCCCCCTACTCCTCCTGCGCCTCCTGCTCCTCCTGCTCCTCCTGCTCCTCCGAATCCGCCGGCTCCTGAACACACGGGCAATCGGCCTGTGCTCACGCTACTGCTCCTATCGGCGTTCGACGAGTACCTCTCGGAACCGGACAGCAACAAGCCCCCAGATGAGTACATAGAAGCTCCGGCGCTGGCACCACGTTGGGGCTAGCCCGAAGATTGCACGTGGGACGAATCTGCTGTGGGCGCTGACGACGATGTGGCCGACGCCGACGAGGAGTGGCGCGCTGAGCGAGACAAAGGCGCCGAGGCTGGCACAGAGATTGGCACCGAGGCTGGCACCGCGGCCGATGTGTTTCCCGAGGGTGCCCCGAGCGGCGACGACGACGACAGCGTAGAGTACTGGTCGCGCAACGGCCTCCCCAAGAAACTACCGATACCGTCTTATCCACCTACCGTGATGCCCGCCCCCCCTCTCCCAGGTACAAGCCTTCACAGCATAAGCGTCACGCTTATACTCGCAAGAGAAGTTGAAGTTGCTCGCGCGCCTGGATGTGGCGGTCTCGGTGCGCGCGTTGTCTCGCGAAAGTGGCATCCACCGCACGTGTCTCACGGAGTGGAAGAGAGCCACGGAGGTCCTCAAGGACGCTTATGCCGCACGGAAGCGCATGTACGGTCGCGGGAGAGTATCGTGGTATCGGCCAATGGAGCTCAAGGTGTACGCGAAGCTCCTCGACTGCGCCGCAAGGGAGTAGCCGTCTCCGTCGGACGTCTGCAGGAGTGGTCGCGGGAGTACATGAAGGTACTCTACCCCGACGTGAAGTGGAAGGGGAGCCAAAGGTGGTCGGACCGATTTCGGCGGCGGTGGAATCTGAGCGTGCGCATGAAGACGAAGGTTCCCCGAAAAACCCCCGCCCATAAATATTGCCTTGTTTTTTTTTTTTAGCTATGTTTTACTTGTGATTTACTAACCCATGCGTCTCCCCACTCCTTCCCTCTTGTTCACAGATCTCGCGGAGTAGTGCAAGAAGTTATGGGAGTTCGTCCGTGACAACTATCGTGAGCGCGGCATCGAAACCCGGTGGATCATCAACGCCGACCACACGCGGCTGTGGCTGGAGATGCCCGCCACCACCACTGTGGATCAAACGGGCGTTCGGTTGGTGCCGATCAGGAGTGCGGGGTACCACAAGGAGTAGATTAGCTAGACATGCCAAGCTCGGAAATGTGTAGCCATAGCTAGAAATTTTTTAATGTAATACTCTTGTTAGTGCAATTTTAAACATGTTAGTCCCCCCCCAAAATTTTTATGTTTAGCGTCTTTTAATAACATGGAGTTAACACATCCAAATCTGATCAGGGATGCGCTTATAATAAGTAGAGGTTTGACAGGGGGTTCGCCATGCTCCAAATAGAAGCGCCGACGCCTTTAATAGGACGGCGCTTATATCCGGGGTGTCGGAATCTTGGTATCCTGCTCTCTTCTCTCTTCTCCCTGGTGTGTCCTCCTTGTCCGTCCTGCCTTAATCCTTACCCTCCTCACCCCCATAGTGCCCTCAGCTCTCTGTGAAGCCCCTTGGTCTTGTCTACAGGCTTATCCACTGAAAAGCTCCTGTCAGTAGTGAGACTCCTACTACTCTAGGAAGCTGGTGCTCGGCAGACTCTTTCTCCTTGGTCACCAGAGCTATTGGCTTGCGGGGTTGGGATCACTGGTTGCTCGGCTCTAGCAGTTCGCTAGGCTCAAATTGTGCTTAATTGTGAAAACAAACGAGCAAGCAACGAGATCCTACCCCAGCTCTTGCCTAAGTATTCTTTGTGGTTACCGTTCTTGGCAACGGTGCTTTCGCCAGCCCGCCTTCCTCTCTATTCCCGCTCATATATTCGGTTTCCCGCCCTCCTCTCTACAGCCTACCCTGTTATTATCTACTTGTCATGCATTTATATTGTTCTATTCATTCTAAAATTTAAAGCATGACAGGTGTCGGAATCTTGGTATCCTGCTCTCTAATCTCTTCTCCCTGGTGTGTCCTCCTTGTCCTTCCTGCCTTGATCCTTACCCTCCTCGCCCCCTTAGTGCCCTCAGCTCTCTGTGAAGTCCCTTGGTCTTGTCAGCAGGCTTATCCACTTGCCCCCTCCTTGGCTTCTCTGCTTCTCTTCTCTACCGACGGACCTTCTCGTTATCAGCCTGCCTCTCTTCCTGCTTTTCTCCCCTCTGCCACTCCTCTCTGTCCTTCCTTCCAGGGTTGGCTCTCGCCACATTGGTCCGGTGATCTCTCTTTTCTTGCCCCTTCTCACTCACGAGTACTACCTCTCCAGACTCCTTCACCTCCTTGACCCTCCAGCGCTCCGTTCCCAACCCTACGTCCATCATGTCCTGCTTTGCTTGTTTCAGGTACACTCCTCCTACTCCCAGCTCCTTCTCCTTCTTCCATGTGTTCCCTTCCCTCCTCTTCTTATATCTCTGGGCATCCCTCAACTACGCCATATGCAGATTCTCCAGGCTGCTGGCAGCACTTCTCGTAGGTACCTGGCTCTTGCTTCGGCTAGCCCCACCCATTGCTCTTCTGATCCTGTTGCCACTATTCCTGTGAGCAGTTTTGGCGCATCCACCGGCAGCACTGGTACTCGGCCTAACAGCAGGAAGTATGGTGAATAATCCTTGAGTGCTGCTTGCTTGCTGAAGCGGCACCCCGCTGCCACCCAGGGCAACCTCATGTCCCAGTCCCTTTTGAAATTTTCCCCGTATGCCCTCAAACCTCTCTTTACGGTTTGCACGAATCTCTCAGTCAGGCCGTCACTCTGGGGATGGCAGCGGGAGGTTCTTCTGTGGATGATTCCGCTCTCCTTCAGCAGCTTCTCGAACTCTCCCAGGAACTCGGTTCCTTGGTCGGTCAGTACTTCTCCGCATGCTCCAAATCTCGTCAGCACTTGTCCCTCGAATGCCTCCGCTATTCTAGCTGAGTTCTTACTTGGCAGCGCTTTCACTTCCACCCATTTACTCCCGTGCTCAATCATGATGAGAATGTAGCGCTTCCCCCTTCGGCTCAGCGGCATCTCTCCAGCTAAATCCAGCGACCATCTGAAACCTATGCCTCTGATTGGCAGTGACTGAAGCTCCTCTCTTCCCCGCTCCAATTCTGCTTTGTTCCTGCTGCATAACTCACATCCTGCCACTCATTCCTTGATGTCATTCCACATTCCTGCCCACCACCATCCAGTTTCCACCAGTTGGCTCGTTCTCAAGCTGCCGTAGTGACCCATTTGCCTGTGCACCTTTGCCATGATCTCTCCCCTCTCTTCCTTCCTGCGCACTAGCTTCCATCCATCCTTGGTGTTCTTCTACAGCTGTTCTTGATACGAACGGTAGTGTGCTCCCCTCACCC